ATAAATTGATTTCCTAATAATAAAGGGAAAGTGTTACCTAGCGGAGATATAGCTCTCCAGGCCTCTAGGCGCTAACTATGGCCTACAGGCTATTTATCAAAGAATCTTAAAGATTTCGGATAAATGTTTCTTTTATAGTAAGATATACATTAGATAGAGAGACTTCATAAATACTATCTATTAACATTAAAGAGTATGATATTTGTTTAATATAAAATATAAAGTAACGTTATTTAAGTACAATAATGTTAATAATTCTTTTCCTTTAAGGCCGATTAAACAGCGACATAGGTTCAATTAGATTAACTTGAGGTTAAAAACCAATTCTACTGTAGAGTTGCAATACCATATAGATTAGTCACTCTCTTAATCTATAGACCTCGAGACAGCCTATATGTCATAAGACAGGCTCTTCTACACGACAGACGCTCCTCACCTGAGAGAGACAGAGATCCTCCTAAGGGGGTCTAGATATGGCCTGAGTGTCTGGGCCTCAGACCTGCTGTAAAGTCTCTGGTCTCTATGTTATCAGGCTTTTACCTTACGTGACTCTAGTTATAACATTCAATCTCGAGCTCCTGTATATTTGGTAAAGTATGTAGCTGTCTATCTATCTATTATAAGTCATTAGTATATAATAGAAACAGTGGCTTTGTCAGAGATAAAGGAAGATATAATCTGCGCCTCGGTGCATTAAGGTTTCCATCATGATGAATATAAATATATTAATCCTCTGTACTGACTAATCCAGTCTTGATTTGAGGATATCTCTTCCATTTTAATGAACCATCCTTCCTGTTTTTCTCTTCCACATCATCTAGAACCAGACCGTCCTGGATTTGAGGCGAAAGACCCCATCGCAGAAGTGTTGTATCACCGCCTAGATAAGGGACGATGTACAAATCGGCAAACTTCAGTGGTAACGAGTGCCAGGACAGTTTCCGTGTTGACAAGCTCGTTGCTTGGAGGATTTTCCTGGTACTGGCCTCTCTGTCGCGCTGAAATGATGCCAGAGTCTGCTCTATAGTTGCGAGATTAGGCTGTCTGTTATCCTTGAGTACCTTCATGATGGAGTTCGTGAACGCTACAGCATTTTGTATCCCCGTGTTGAGACCAAACGCAGCCTGAGGTGCCTGCTTACAGACGGAGTCGCCAATAAGCACAATACGATGCCAGTGCCAATGGTGAATAAGCCCTTCTTCGAGATTTGTAAGGTAGGACCATTTTCTATCGGCCCATAGGTCCCCAAATCGATAACCATCTGGGTTTATAATGCGATCTGCAACTCGCGATGCATGCTCTTCTTGATCGGCTATAGTGAATTGCGGAGACTCTGTCGTGGGTTCAGGTAACGTGAAGAATGCTCCAAAATTGACTTGGCTCTCTGTTAGAACCACTTGGAAGTGAACATCCTTTCCTCTTATCTCATAACTCATATTAGGTTTGGAACCGGGGATTGGACCCTTGGTGTAACCAAATAATGCCCGATATGTCGATAGGAAAGGAGCTTGATCCAAATCTTGCCCTTGGGACCTGGCAAGATCCCGCATCAGGCTACGCACTCTGCTTTTCACTCCGTCGGCCCCAACCACTAGAGACCCATGATGTTGTGTTTTGCCATCCTTGCAGTATACTGTTACGCCGTCATCTTCAATGGCAATCTTTTCAATCTCCTGATTGGGCAGTACTTTCGTTTTGTCGGGTAGAGTATCGTACAGCGACTTGACAAGGCTAAATCTATTGAGGGCAATGGCTAGGTGGCCATGTCTTCTCAGATATTAGCTTGTGTTACTGGTTACTCTTATGGTGAGAAGCTCACAATCTTTCTGTTTCCTCTGGTAATTTTGACTGGCTAATAATGCTGCCGTCAGGACAAAGATTAACCTTCTCTTCCAACGGTATGTGCACAGACTGCACGCTGTCCTTGATACCAAGCTGGTCCAAAACTCTAATATTGTGCGGCCAGATGATGGTCGTGCCCCCGGTTGCCGTCTCAAATGTGCTATGGCGCTCTAAAACAATATAGTCGATCCCAACAGCGGAGAAGATGTGTGCAAGAATAAGGCCAATGGGGCCGCCTCCCACTATAATCACCTTGAAAGGCGCCGGCATTGTGCTTCGTCAGACTGTCGATCGGATCAATTAAGTACCACTATTCTTCTTGATTTACCAAAAGAAATTTGCGCGAGAGGTGACACGTTTTTCACTATATACAACTTAGTCCAGGGTCATTATCTCGCCTAGCCCGCCGCCTGCGGCGTAGGCTGACATACCAAGGGAATTTGCTGAATCCTACGACTAACCATATGTAGTGTTATTTAAATGGTCAGAGTACCTTTCTTCCTCCGGGAGTAGTGTCCTGCTTATCTGACTCGACCCTCGACCCACCCTATACAGGGGCAAAGTAGGGGGTGATAACCGCACGCCCCACATTCGCGATAAATAAATGCTGAAGATGGTTTCCCAAACCATGAAAAGGGCAACGCACTATCGCAACGCCCGAACATGAGGAACCATAGGACGATGGGTCAAGGGACATGGTTCACGTTCATGTGCACATCTTGGAGGAAATTCGACAGCGATCAGAAGTGTACGGCGACGAAGACGCTTACCTAGCTGAGGAAAGCCCGATAAGAACGAAGGAACTGCTCACCGCAGCAGGAATAACCGCTCTTACCCTGAATTGGTATCCTAAACGACACGTATAAAGCACCACACTTTGCTAGAGACAAGTCACGATGGTATCGATCCCGCAAAATCCGACGCACGCAACATTTTCAACACGATCCTATGGCATGGATGCAATGTATTTATGATGATATATTCCCCGACATACATGATAATGAATATATGGCGGAAGCATCAAAGTAAAGAGAATAGCAGGTTTAAGGTGCGATTCTCTGCCTAGTTATGACCCACAAGCTATTTACCAAATAACGCTAGACATTTGTAGGAAACATATTTATCGACGGACTAGATATTTCTTTCTTGGCGATACATGCTAGATAGGGGGGTTTCATAAACATTATCTATTGGCACTGGAGGGCACGGCGCTTGCCTGCCGTGAAGTAAGGAGTATTTAAATACGATAACGATAGTGTTCTTCTATCGCTATGAATGTTGTCGATTAATTGTGAACCATTGCTACGAGCCGTCAACTCGTCATTTTCGTCTTGTGACGTAGTCCCGCTAGCAACATCGTTTCATTAGGAGACATTTTCTATCCAAGATTTTATCGTCTTAATAATGCCTTCAACATTAGACTTACTATCTGTTGATAGACATATAGGTATGATAAAAAGTATTAACTGATCGTCCTTATGCAACGGGAGGTAGGCGGTATTGCTGACGAAACAATGTCCTAGTATATTGTATATTATAGCGTTAGCCTTCCTAAGGCGTAGAGATGGTAATTTTTGATGACCGAACAGTGATTCACCTCAAATTCTAGATGATGACCAACAAGGCTATTCATGTTAAAGTATATTAGCATCTAAGCTGAAGGCTTCAAGCTTTGTGTAACTGAGTTCTTGGCATGGCGCCAATGATTTCCTAGGTGGTGCTGAGCGCTATTGGTGCTCGAATCACAAGTCTGCTAGGGTCAATAGCTATAGGAGCGCTTGCCGGGTCTGCAGGTTCCGCGAGCGTGTATGCCGCTGCGACAGGCCAATCTGTCAGTGTAGAAAATATCGTCTTCAACGCCGTCCTTGGATTCGGCATAGGCGCGGTTGGAGCACGTTTCGGCTATAAAGGAAGGATAAGGCGGCTGAGAATGCTAGCAGCTGACGAGAACCAGCCGGAACAGGAGCAACATGGAGTGGCCAATCCTAATGCTGGAGGTATAATCCAGCAAGAACAGTAAATTCAGATCCAGCCGCAGGCACCGCAGGTACAGCAAGTACGAGGACAGGCACAGGGAAGGCCGGTGCTTCCTGGTTTTGGAGGGCGTCCAAATCGCTGGGCTAACTTTGTAGCGTGGCAAGCACAGTTCCAACAGCCACAACTCCAACAGCCAAAGCAGTTTCTACCTAACATCTAGTGATTTTCAAGGTTCAGATTGGAGTAGATATACTGACTAAAGCAAAATCCAATATCAGCAATACCTATAACACCTCTATTGTTCCACATAGCCTACACAAACTATATCCTAGAAGCTTTATATAGTTTAAATAGTCGCGTTGTTAATCTTTGGTATAGGCGGTAGGATCTCTGGTACCAGGGCTTTAATTGCGAGTATAGTTCATTATATCATTAATTCAAAATCATCCAGCTTATAGGTACAGGCTGCACTATCTCTCAGGCATTTAGAGTTTTTGTTATACATCAAGATATGAAGTAATGTTTAGGCAGCTATACAAAGAGCTAACTATAGAACTAAAAGCAGTGGGCGGTTAGTGAGACTCCAAAGGCTGCGTATTTTCGCTGCTGTCAGGAACTTTAAGTCTTATTGCCATGGTGGTGGTGGTAGTAGTAGAGTTTCTACAGCAATGAGAGTTTGAGGCCCTGTCAATAAATGAATTCTTCACTGCTGTTAGAGAGCTTGTGTCTTGTTCCTTCTCGTTACTGTTTTATTCGTCTCTGTTAGAAGAGCCCCCAAGAGCATACCAGAAAGCAACTATGATTGAGAATATCTTACTGTGTTAAATCGGTTATTTTGAAGAGACGCGATGATATTAAGTCTCAGTGTAGCCTATTGTGAATAGAACAGAATGGTCTGAGACTAATTTGATCAAATATATAGAACTATCTACCTTGTCTACAATGACTTAGGCATAGATCTCAACATCTGCATCTACATTATTCAGATTATGAATATTACGTGACCACACGTTTATATGGATGCGGTCGTTTTTAAATTTCATTTGCAATCGATCTTGCTGCCTGAATGATCATTATCCTGAGATATGACGTACTTTTTGAATTGCCTGGCTGGAACTCGTCGGTCAAATAGAGTGTCAAGTTCTTCAAAGGTTCGATTGCTTGTCTGATAATAGAACACATTAGCCGCAAACATAACCCATACAAAGAAAACAAGAAGGAAAGACAGACGGAGGGGCGATCTGGCATGAGCGGCCATCACGAACCTCAGGCAGACGGAAGAAACTCCAAATAAAGGAGAAAATAGTGAGGCCACCCCACAGAAAATTGATCTTGGCACCAGCCGCGGCTGAACCAGGATTGAGCAGGTACGGTCCAGCGATGGTAATGACAAGGTAAGTCATGCCATTAAAGGTGGCAGTCAGTGACAACGTTTTGGCACGCAGCTTGGTCGACGGGATCTCGGATGAAATGACATAGGCTAATGGGCCGACTGATAATGCGTAGGTAAACTGCATGGTGATGAGAATAGTTGCCTGTGCCCATGCGTACGCTGTATTGGTTTTGTAATCGGGCGCGAAACAGAGTAGTGAGACGACCCAGAGCCCAGCAATGGTGTAGATGAGACCCATGAGAAAGACAAGCCGTCGGCCAAAGTACATCGTGGGAACGGCAGACAGAAGAGTTCCAACAAACGCAACACTGGTGAGACCAATGCCCATGTTGAAGGCGTTTTCCGAGCTCAAACCAGTCTGCTCAAACAGATACACAGCGAAAGCGGCCTGATTTCCCGAAAAGTTCTGAATGATGAAGAGTGCCGAGCAAATCTCCAATCGACGAAGATCTGGACCCTTGAAACAATCCCGGTATGTAGCGCCAATGTCCAGTTCCTGTTCATAGAGGTCTGTCTTCACCATCATGGCCAGCACATTATCGTTGTCAGCATGTGATTCCTTGCTAGACAGCCGGTCGAGAGTCTTCTTTGCGTCAGCAAGACGATTCTGTCGGATCAGCCACCATGGCGACTCAGGCGCCCAGTACAGGAACGAGAGAATAAAGACCGGCCACACCCACTGGAGAGCATACGGGACTCGATAAGCCCATACCGTCGTCCAGTTGACGAAGCCCCGTGTGATTCCAGTTTGTAGCAGCGCGCCTATGGTGTAGCACAGCATTACAAAGCCGGTGAATATACCACGGAGACGCATGGGGAGGACCTCGGAGGCATATGTCGGCGCAATGACATGGTAGCCGCCCCAGATGATACCTGCGAGGTACATGGATGCGGTGAGAACATTCCGGTTTGGAGCGAAGACCTGCATGAAGACCAAGGCCGATGTCATGACGAGGTAGATACCGAGTGTGCGCTTGCGGCCGATACGGTCCATGGGGATGGCTGCTGCCCATGCCCCGACAACCTGTCCAACAATTGGGCCCATTGACATAGCAACCTGCCATTGGGTTGGTACTTCGTAACCGTGACCATCAATATAGTCACCCATATGCCTCTTGAAGGCGGGCAGGGCAAAGAAGTTGCTTGTGATCTCGATATCGTATGCTCTCATGATGATGGACATTGATACTAGCATAGACCAGAGCGCTGCCTTATGATACTTCTTGAGAGCTTGACCAAGGGTTAGATCGTGTTCTGAGAGAGTTGCTTCAATGGCCATCTGCTGATTGATCACGTCGAGTTTGCCGGTTTTCTCGGCAACATTCAAGGCTGCGAGTTGCTGTTCGCCCTCATTGGCCATCTCGACCATAACGACATCCTGCTTGGGCAGTGGATCGGTCATGATGCCTATGAGCAAAGCAAATGCAAAGGGATAAGTTGCTTTCTTAATGCCCAAACAGAAATTTCTTTCAATGAGATATTAAGGGGATTGAATGAAGGTCTAGAAATCAACCAGGGAAAACAACATCGCAGCCGGAGGACCACAGACCTGATATACATCGTCCTGCGACGAAAGCGTAGGGGAGAGAAAAGAGGATTCCTCTCGACTTAGGGTTCTCTTATTATGACATGACTCGTGTCAACCCCCGGGGGGGAACGTTGTGGGGACCTGGGGAAGGGTGTGGGGACGCTCTTTCTCTTGTGTCCAAGTCCAAGATACAAGTCTCTTCGAGGAACCCAAACGATATCTGAGCTATATCTGGTATGGGATGTGATTTGCCGAGATAGAGGCGCGTATAGTCTCTCAATAATTAGGAGTAGAAGGTACTAACTAGTGGGAGCTCAACCGCCTCGCTCTGCCGTCCAGGTATGATGCAAGAACGGACGCAAGCAACAAATCCGACGGATAATTCAAAATACTTGGCGGGGCACTTGGGCAATCAATTACCTTTGCCAAGCATTTGCTAGATGCTATCATCCGTCTCTTCTTCGAGAGCGTCTCCACACGATAGTCCCGAGGGTATCCATACAACGCCTTAACACATAGATTCACCATGGCCGGTGCACATGTGACTTGAGTAATGACTGAATAGCGTTGCGAAACCCTCTTAATAAATTCTCACCCATAAACAAGAGATCTGACACGCACACGCCTAACTGGTATGCTTAGCTATTGATAATGAAACTGGAAGCCTTCACTCTATGATAGCCGGACAAGTCGACCGGCCGTTAAGATTCCTTCACGATTCTTTCTCTGACAAGAGTAGTTTCTTCAAGGAGATGGGGAGTGATGCAGCGAATTTGCATCAACTACCCCTAGTCATGGGGGGTGCTGGCTTCAGCTATCAGTTACATCCTGCACCAGAATCTCTCCCAATCCAACAAATTCTACTCCGAGCATTTGAGCTTGGCCTGCGCACCATTGATACATCTCCATACTATGAGCCATCGGAACAGCTCATAGGGAAGGCCCTTTCGGACCCCGAAGTTGCATCCAGCTATCCACGGGAAGGAATCATAATCATGACCAAGGTCGGTCGTATCAAAGAAAACCAATTCGACTACTCACCCGCGTGGATCCGGAAGTCAGTCCTACGATCACTAGAGCGGTTTCAGACGACTTACTTGGACGTTGTCTTTTGCCACGATGTCGAGTTCGTGTCAATGGAAGACGCGCTCGCTGCCGTGGGCGTACTTTTCGACCTGCATCGCATGGGGACAATCCGTAAGGTCGGCATCTCGGGTTATGATTTGGATACTCTGGCGGCTGTGGCAACATCTGTACGAGAGCGCTACGGACGCCCCCTCGACGTCATCCAGACGTGGGCTCAGCTGACACTGCAGAACACACAAGTCGAAAAGCGTGGGCTGAACCTCTTCCGCGCTGCAGGTGTTAATAGTGTTTTTTGCTCCAGCCCGCTTGCCGTTGGTCTTCTGCGTAACGGCGGTATCCCGGCGGGGCGTACTGGCGACTGGCATCCTGCGCCCCCGGGTTTGCGTGCGGCGGCGCAACAGGCTGCGCTATGGACTGAACAGCAAGGACACTCCATGGCATCTGTGGCACTACGATTCGCCATAACCAGGGCAAGACGGAACTGCAGTCCTGGATTTGCGATCTCGACGATCACAGGCATTAGTACTCTTTCGGACCTCGAACAAAATGTAGCAACAGCAAAACAGATTCTGGAAAATGACCCGGAAGCCCCTAAGTCCACGTCACTGCGAGACTTCACAGAGCTTGACGATACAACGATCGCGAGGGATGAAACTCTCTATAATCAGATTCGAGCGATCCTGGGAGAGTGGGTGGATTATAACTTTGCTAGAGAAGTACCCAAGGAAGAGACAGTTCGGAATCACACGCCACTTCAAGTAGATACGAAAGAAGTAAAAGTGGTCACAAAGGAATTTGCACCATCTGCGATAGTAGCTTCCGTGTAATCATATCTTTTTCTATTCAACTGCACATCTGTGGATTGCACATATGAACTTTCAATGGTGATCAACCAATACAGAGTAATAGTTTGCTCGGCCTCGAGTCTGTTCCGAGATCGGACGGAGAAGTATATCCTCGCAAGTGGGCTGTGTGTGATTCTATCAACCCTTGCCTTAGCAGGGTTATCAAAAGGTTTCGTTTCATGCCACGCATTGTTCAGGAAATAATATGTGATCAGATGCAACACCTCCTACTGAGGGGATGCACGTTTGCACACGATTTTCGTCACCGCCCCGCGCTGCTGTACTTACCAAGGGAGATAGATGCCTTTAGTCTATGGAGGCAATGACTCGCGCGTACAGGACTGATCGCGGAGTAGTCCGTCTAGCTCCATCTCGGCAGTGGGGTTGGTGCGGGGGCTTCAAGCCTTCAGCATTCCAACTTGGAACCGCCAAATCAAAACATCTGCGCCCCTTTTCACCGATGGAAATATCCTATAATGCTCAAGACTTTACACTAGCCCCGGTAGATGAATCAGGAGTTCGGCCTGATTGTTTTAATCATGCATCTAAGTCACAAGCAGGCGGGGACTTTACACATTTATCCTACGGGTCATCTCCATTTTATCGGAAACTTTTTCGAGACTGAGAACCAGTACTCATGATCATCAAAATGTAAGGCCGAGAAAACTACGCGAGCTTGTGATCGTTGCAGCAGCCTCACTCAGGTTCAGTTGTGATGAGCCTTATCCTCAGTATTTATTAGATAGCACGAAGAAAATCATATGTACAGATGGTAAGATGGCCGCGCTTTGATTTTTAGCCCATCATGAAAGCACCGACATGGATCATAACGAAACTTGCTGCATTCTACAACAAGTAAGTAGTATAATTGGCTTGCTCTACATGCTCCTCAGTTGAGAATATAATAGATATAATAGACCTTCATCAGTGCCAATTGAATATTCCGGCTTACGGTAATGATAGCGTTCAAGAGGTTGAATTGTTTCGAGCTAGACGCGCTATACACTAAGTACTCAGCTTGGTCACCGATAATATCTCCGCATCAGATTGCGGAGTGGAACCCACTGGGCCACCATGTGACGCAGTTGTGGAACTTCATGTTACTAGGCTATGGATTGGCTGTCTGCTCACACTCGAGCCACTGGTATTTTCCGTCGGTATTCTAAAGCCCAGAATAGTGACTACAGCCGGGGGTCAATGCGGGACTTTTTAAGATTATGGGCGTTTATACACACTTGATGCGTAATGCTCTTCGAAAGTCCTCGGTTCATGGCAGATGGGCTATTGAGAGCCTCTTGTGGTCACCTAGCCTCCATCATTTCTATTTTGTACCTCAAGCAAAACCTGAATTAGAGGTAAATCGATGTTTGAGAACCACCTTACAGTAGTTTATGTTATTTGTACATCTTATTTCGAAGTGTCAAGCAGGGCGTCATAATGGGGGAACATAGGCTCTACTACGACAAACCAGCTAACATCTGGGACGATGCTATTCCCATTGGAAACGGTCGTCTTGGGGCTATGGTTCGTGGCACGACCGATCTCGAGCGCCTTTGGATCAATGAAGACTCGGTGTGGTATGGCGGTCCGCAGAACCGAGTCAATCCGGCTGCAAAGACAGCTCTTCCCAAGATCCGCGAGCTCATTGACCAGAATCGGATTCGCGAGGCCGAGAAGCTCATGGTCAAGAGCATGACATCCCGCCCCAAATCAATGCGTCACTACGAGCCCCTTGGTGACGTCTTTTTGACCTTTGGCCATGGCCAGGATCCCCCCGGAGACGAGGTGCGTGTCTCCGGCATCCCAGCATTTGAGAATCAGTTCTCCCACGACTCGACCCGATCGCCATCCAACTACAGGCGGGACCTGGACCTTCACACCGGCGTTACCTCTGTGTCGTATGAATTCGGCGGTGCCACATATTGGCGGGAAGCCTTCTCCAGTGTCACCGATGAGGTGATCGTGATGAGCATCAAGTCGGACAAGGACATTTCGTTCAAGATAGACTTGAACCGCGGCGATCACCCAGAAACAGACCGTCGATACAACCAGCGTTTTGACACGTATGAAGACATTGAGGGTGGACAGATGATTACCGGAACTATGGGCAGAAAGGGCGCTGTCGAATATGCCCTAGGGGCCCGCGTCATCATCGAAGGCGAAGGTGACGTTGACACCACTGGTGCGAACATCGCGGTGAATGCCAAAGGTCGTGTCATTGTCCTCATTTCAGGCGAGACAACGTACCGCAATCATAGCGCTGGTGGTTCCGTGCAAGAGCGCTTGGTGGCTGCGTCAAGCAAGTCATTTGCGCAGCTCAAGGCTTCGCATATCCAAAGGTTTTCATCTCTGTACGATCGTGTCGAGCTCTGCCTCCCTGGAAGCGGTACTCAGCCTGATGTTCCCATCGACGAGCGAATCCGGCGGGTCCGGGACGGCGCGATTGACAACGGTTTGTCCTCGCTGCTTTACCACTACGGGCGATATCTACTCATGAGCTCGTCTCTGAGCGGACTCCCTGCCAACCTTCAAGGGATATGGAACCGAGATCACATGCCCGTTTGGGGATCCAAGTACACCATCAATATCAACATCCAGATGAATTACTGGCCAGCAGAGGTGGCAAACCTGCCCGAGACGCATGAGGTGCTCTTCAATTTTCTCGAGCTAACGGCCAGGCGCGGAGCCATTACCGCTCGGGAAATGTACGACTGCCGAGGGTGGGTCATGCATCGTAAGTGATCGGAATTTCCTTCTACTGTGATGTAAGGGCTGGGCTTTTAACTCACCTTTGAATGGTGTCTCGTGCCTTCATGTTGACTGTCGTACCCTGGCTTACGAATATTGACAGACAATACGGATCTATGGGGTGATACAACGGTTCAAGATGATTGCCCACAAGCCTCGTTCTGGAACTTGTCAGGTGCTTGGTTCATGACGCAT